TCTTTTTACTCGGTTTATTTTTTTATCTGTTTCTTCTACACTTTATCTGTCACCTCCTCGGCAGATAGGACAACTACGGTGAGGATGACGGGGATGTTCACAGGGATACCAAAGGAGAGTTGCGCTAATACAGCATTCAGCCGGAAGGCTAGCTCGAACCATCCCATCGAAACATTCCCGACAGAGGACATGTTGCCCATATGTCAAGAAAACTGCAGAACATTCATCACAATGCAACATCATGCAGTTCTGATAGCGTCCTTGGGAACAGAAAGGACAACGTACATCTGGATGATAGGGATGTGCACAATAAGAAAATGTTAGACACCCTATATATATATATCGTCACAAACAGAACTGCCCGGTAAACCGTAGGCAGAGAGACAGAAGAGGACAACAAACAAGGGGCTGTGACAAACTGTTTCGTCGGAGTTTCACTGACTCATCAGGAGGCTGGACCCTCAACAGTCTGCAGAATCCCCTCACTGATTACACTGTAAATGATAATCTACCTTAACCAAAATCAAAGTAGACTATCACTCACCCACACCAGATGGAAAACTCTATAGACTGTCAGTTCACACCCCATCACAAGCTAACAAAACATCCACGAAACAAAGAAAGGTTTGTCACTGCCAATATAAATATGGGATAATTTGTCAAATACCCTCATAAGTTGAGATGTATGACAAAATGCCCCGGAAAGATGTGGGTAGAGTGGAATGCCTTTTTGGGCGGAAATCTTTGCATTGTGCCCCTGTCAGGTGGGTGTGCAACTTCACAATCTGGACCTCCCCGTTTGGGCTTTTGCCTTCTGCAATAGCGCCGAGGAGAAGTTGGCACATACTAGGGCATTTTGCAAAGTTGGACAGTACTCGGTAGGGGTATATTGCTAAGATGGGGTTCCAACTGGCACCAGGGGTATTTCACAAAATATGTTTTTTGTCAGAGGGTCATTCCGCTCTACCCACATCTTTCAGGGGCATTTTGGCATATATCTCCACTTATGGGGGTATGTTGCAAATTATCCCTATAAATTTTTATTTTAAATTTCGTAAAGAATTTCGATGTGTCACCTAGAGGCAAAAGTTGTTCAGTTTATTTTTCTGCATAACATAGTTTTTTTTCGGATGTTTTTCTTGGCTAGGACCTTCCCTAGTTGTTGCATACCGTAAAGGTGCAGACCAGAACAAGAACCGACCTCTCATACAAAGTACAAGATAGCGTAGCGGAAGACTTAGATACCAATGATCCGAACAATCAATATTGCAATGCAGCCCCAACATACATCATCATCGTTCCATGGTGTGAAGGGGCCTGACGCTCATACAGGACAAATGCGCCAGTCCCCGCCATACACACACGAAGAGGAGGGGGGTTAGACGAAGAAGAGGGAAAGATAGGAATGTCGTCAACACCAAGTCTGTGATGCAGGTCCCTAATAATCCTCGTCCAATGTCTGAAGTCATAACTCTCTCTCTCTCTGTTGTAGTCTGTTGATATTGAGAAGTCAGGTGGGGAGAGGGTAAAGAAGAGATGGTGGACTTAGAAGAGGAAGAAGAAGAACTCTCTCTCTCTCTCTATCCGTTACTTACCTGTGAAGATGGCGCCTTGATGCAGGTACCTCGAAGATGGAGCTGAAGCTATGGCGCCACAGGTAAGTCTCGCTGGCCTCTGCCAACCATCTCTCTCTAATACTACTACCACTACCACTACTTAGCGCCCTGCGCTGAGGACTACTTCTGCAGCTACTGGCGCGCAGCGCTGAAGACTACTGCTAGCGCTAAGCTGCTCCTGCAACACTCCTCCTGAAGACTACCTCCTGCTTTTCTCCAACTACCTGCCCGTGAAGTGCATGGGAACTCCCTATGTACTACACGGTCTGCCTCCTGACTGCCTGCAGCTTCAGGGCGAGGCAGTCTAGGAGGCTGCTCTTGCCAATGCCAGGGCAAGCCAGGGGCTGGCGTTGCAGCTCCTGCTAAGGCCGGCGTGGGGAAAATGCCAAAAATAGCATGTACCCGAAACTCTGGTTTGTTGCCTGAGTTCTAGGGCAGGACGATCTTATGAGGGTCCGAAAGTGGCCCTCCGTTTCAGGCTGAAAAGACTCAGGGCCTGAACGACCCTTTTATTGGCTGGAAACAAAATAGGGCCTGCAGGCCCTCGTTTTCAGTTTTCAGGCTGAAACGACGCTGGGCCTGTAAGCCCTTATGTCTAGGCTTTTAGGCTGAGAATGCGGGACGGGCTTTGCAGGCCCGTGTGGCTACGCAGTATGCCACACCCCCCCCTCCTTGAAAGACCAAGCTTACCTGCGAGGGCGAATCTGTCTGTCTGAGGGAGGGACCACAGTCCGGGTGGGAGGGGCAGGTCGTGAAGTTCCCTGAGGTAACCTTTGTCGCTCGTAGTGAGTGTAGATCAGCGGTGCAGATGCTTTCAAATCTGTTTCTGAAATCCACCGAGTGTCGTCGGGATCGCATGCTTTGAATGTAACCTTGTACTGTCGAGGCTTGCTGCCGTACTTGCGATCCGTGATGACGTGGTCAACTTCCTGATAACCATCCATGGATGGAGGGTCCTGCGATCATCGGCCCGGGAAGTCGTCACTCTTAGCTAGTGTGTATGTTGCCACCTTCAAGGCGTGAAAGACTGGATGAACCGTCAGATGCGGGAGGATGTTGATCACAAATGAGGGGCCATCGGGCTCTTCGCCCGCGGCTGATGTTATGGGCCACGGTCCAAACCACTTGGGAAGCAGTTTGCGTGAAACATCTTGTTCAAGTGCAAACTCTTCCGCGGAGACCCAAACCAGATCACCGGCGCGAATGGGACATGGCACGCGACGCCTGTTGGCTTGCTGCTGCATGCGGACTTGAGCCTTTTGCATGTTCGCGTTGGCTTGAGACAGCAATTCCCTGTACTTCCGGACGGAAGCAGGAGAGCAAGCGGCGTCGATGTCGGATGGTTGTGGGAGGAGAAGGTCAGCGAAGATACGACCTTTCCGTCCACTGTGGTGCAACTCGAATGGAGTCACGCCGATCGCCGGGTGCACCGAAGCGTTGTACGCGAACTCGATGTCAGGGAGACGGTCAACCCAATCTTTCTGGTCTGGACGGATGAGTGTACGAAGCATCATTTGAGCGGTTTGATCTGCCTGCTCCGTTTGGCCGTCCGTCTGTGGATGCCGAGCCGAACTTGGTTTCATCTTCGTGCCAAACTCCTGCATGAGAGCAATCCAAAATGCCGACATGAAGCGAGTGTCGTGGTCGCTGACTATGTCTTCCTGTACACCGCGGCCGCAAATCCAGCCGGTGTGCAAGAGGCGTGCCAGCTCGGGAGCCGTGGAGTAGTCCTTGCAAGGGAGAAAACCCGCGTACTTACTCAAACGGTCCACGACAGTGAGGATGCCGTCGTGCGCGAGGCGATCGCGGGGAAATGGTCCGGTGACATCCATGGCAATGGACAGGCCGGGTTCCCATGAGATAGGCATCGGGCGCAACTCGCCGTAGGGGTTGCGATTGCCGAGCTTGCTAAGTCGACAAACTTCGCAAGAGTCGCAATACCGAGTGACATCGGTAATGAGGTCGGGTCATCGGAATCGTTGTCGAAGCCGTGCAATAATGCGGTTGCCTCCGAAATGGCCGGCGAGTCGCGAATCATGATACTCGTCGAGAAGGCGAGTCGCGAATCATGATACTCGTCGAGAAGGCGAGTCCGAAGACGACGGCCTCGTGGGACACATAGTAAGTCCTTGCCTCTCCAGAGGAGGAGCAAGTACCCGTCGGTAATGCGATAGTGGCTGGCCGGCGGGTGATCCGAAGATAGCTGCGCATACAACGTGGCGAAGTCCGGATCAGACTCATAGCCCCGGATGAAGTGTCCCTGGAGTTCCTCGTCGAATGCGAAGGCATAATGTGTCATAGCGCAAAGATCGGGTCTTCGCGTGAGTGCATCTGCTGCGCGATTGAAGAGGCCGGGAAGGTGTTTCGGTGTGAACTGAAATTGGTCGATGAAGTACATCGATCGTCCGATCATGCTGCTCACCGTATCCTGCGTCTTGTAGTAGGTCAATGGGTTGTTGTCCATGACCCATGTAAACCTACGACGCCCAAGGAGGAAGTGCTGCCATCGCTTGAGAGTCATCACGAACTCGAGCAGCTCCTTCTTCCTTGCATTATCAAGCGAATTGATGGAAGACACTTTGTGGCTGAAATACTCCACAGGGTGTTGTTCCAAGACTGTCCCTATGCCATAGCCGGAAACGTCAGTTGTCACTCTCGTAGGCAGGGTGGGGTCATAGATGCTAAGGACGGGTGCCATGAGCATGGCTGTCTTGAGTGCTTGGAATGATCGGCGTGCGTCGTCATCGAATACGAATGGCACCTTTGGCGATTGTAATGTTGTCACAGGTGCAGCAATCCTTGAGTATCCGGTGATGAATCACTGATAGTAGCCCGCCAACCCCATGACTGAACGAACGTCCGTGGTGTTGGTGGGCTCGGGCCATACGCGGATGACCTCGATCTTGTCCGCAAGCGGACGGATGCCTTGCGGCATCACATAATGTCCCAAGTACTCCCGCTCCTGCCGCGGGAATTCGCATTTGTCGCGGTTGGCTTTGTTCTTGGCCTGTCTTAGCCGCTCC